GGGGGGGGGGGGGGGGGGGGGGGGGGGGTGAGTATCGAACAGACTTTTGTACAGTAAAACAAATGCTACCTGAGCCTCTGCGAGAGGTAAGGAGGGAGGAAGGGTGAAAAGCCCTCGCCCCTGGATCCGCCAATGTGAACCAATGCTTAATTGGGAAAATTACCAGCTGCATAGTAGTAAATCAGACAAACTGGGAATTAGATTTTATCCAAATTAGTACCAAATACGAAGAACCAGTTCAAAACAATGCTTACCTTACTGCGTACGAAAACATATGGTACGTTTTTGTCTTCGCACAATAACGGCAGGTGCAAGAGGATTTCCAAAGGCTCCGCATCAGCAGCCATTATAATGAGCTAAAATTAAGCAATAATCCGACTTTGTTACGGTACAAAATTAGGAGGACATGAATGATTTTATAACAGGAACTACACATATTATTAGATTAAATCGCCAAAATTCTGGTTTCTTTGCCTCCACAGATCTGAAGACTGAAATTTGTGGGCAGATAAACGCATATGCAAGCAGTTTCTTTACAAAATGTATTTTCGCACTGCATAGATGCAAAAAAAAAAAAAAAATAATTGGCCAACGCACGAGCTGCCCGTGCGAAGATGCGTTTTTTGCATAGTTCCCCGCAGTTTTTCTCGCTACCGGAATCGGTTTTTTTGGCAAATGCTTCTGGCTAAACAAATTAAGACTGGCCGCCAGAACTGTCAGGAAGCACACCCTTAAAATTTCAGCTTTCTAGCTTTCCTGGCTCCTGAGTTAGCAACTTACTGGAAGAAACTTCCGCGGACCCGTACGTGGGTACCACGAATACCCAATGTCTGGGCTTGAGCTCGTTGAGACTTACGTGGACGGGTGAAACTACAGTCTTCTAGCTTTTCAGGTTCTCGAGTTATCAACTTATCCGAAAACTTTCACGGGCCCGTACGTGGGTACCACGTTTAGCCAGGGGGCTGGGTTTGGGCTCACTAATACCGACTTGGACGAGGAACATCACCCTAAGGTTTCAACGTTCTAGCTTCTTAAATCCCCAAGTTGTGGACTTACCCGAGGGAAATTTTGGCGGGCTCGTACGCGGATACCACGTTTACCCGGGGGCTGAGTTTTCCCAAGTTATGGACTTACCCGAGGAAAATTTTTTTGGCGGGCCCATACGCGGGTACTACGCTTACCCGGGGGCTGAGTTTGAGTTCATTAATAGCTACTTCGACGGGAAGATCACCCTCAGATTTCAGCTTTTCAGCTTCTCAGATCCCCGAGCTATTAACTTACCCGTAAAAAACTTCGGCGGGGGCCGTACGCGGGTAATGGCGCCCATTTTGGGGACTGGAGCCCGTAAGTGCATGTAGATTACGTTCCCAAAGTTTCAGTTCTGTAGCTTTTGTAGGGAAGGATGAGGGATGTGACGCAAGGAGAAATAGGGAGAGGGCAGAGAGAGGGAAAGTGAGGAAAATGAGGGAAATATCCCCATTCAAAACAGTATTTTTAGATCCTGAACATTGCTTACCTATACATCGTAGTCGGTCTATATTCGTGCCTACCTTGACTTTTCTAGCTCCAGTTTCCGGCTTCTAATGCTAAGTAAGACACTCTACATGGCTTCAGTGCTTTTTTTCCAGGTAATTCACTTCAAAATCATCAAGTCATAAATTTCCCCGTATGAAGCCCTGAATCGAAGGACCTGGCATAGCTGCGCTCGGCGTGTACGTGTGGGAGCATTCCAGTAACATCACTAACAAGAGATGGTAAAGTGCGGCCGTTAGAAGGCCGAACGCATCCTTAAAAAAAGTGGACGGTCCAAAGAAATCAAAATGTGGAACGGCCGGAATGAGAAAGTTAAAACGAAGGGTGGTGTATGTATATACACCGGTAGCCTAGGCCGCCTTGCTCTTCTTCGCAAATACTTCGC